CATTTTTGGAGACCTGAAGAGAGACATTCGTGGGCATCGGTTTGCATCGGACGAAGACGTGTGTGGCTGGGTACAGATGTGGTTCCGTAGACAGCCCACAAGCTTTGTCAGGGATGGAATTGACTCTTATCTCCCAGTGGGATAAATGTATTAACAGTTTTGGAGATTACTTTTGAGGTAAGAAATATTCTTTAATATGTTTTGGCGTCTGACCCGTTTTCATATGTATGCGTGCGCAGTGTACGTTATGTGTGAGCCAAAGTACGTCTGTCCTATATGCAATGTTCCCTTTCAAGCTGAGTGCACGCGCTGCCGCGCAGCGGCTGTCGCACTCCCGCGCACGAGGCTCAGTTTCGCACACACGTTTATTGCTTTAGTGTATAGTCAATTTGAATTAAAGAGTAAACTACGGGGTTTTTTTTTTTGTTATTATTGGGGAGCTTTGTTGAAAATCCCGGTCTCCCCCCGGGTTGCTCATGCCAGCCAAATTGCTGGTCAGAAGACACCATGGTTTGCGCACTTACCTGCTGCCGACTGAGAGGGAATGTTGCGCGTGTGTCTGCAAAAACTGACCTTTAATTAAGAGCAGATGCTGAACATCACCGTCTCTGCAATGGATATTTTCTTATTCATGAATTGTGGCACAAATCATATACTTCGTTGGATTTGAGGTCCTCCTAGCTGGTGACTGCGAAGAATTCAGTGTTCTGAGAGTAATGTTGTGCAGTCTGTTAAAGTCCATCAATATTTGGGAGGATTGTACAGCTTCTGCAGGGTCGAAGAGTACTCCGAACAAGAAACTAACAAACGTATATAAATATACACGTAAAAGAGTGTAAGGAAATCCATTTAAAGTGTTTGCAAATGCTTTCTTCCTATTGGTATCTAGCTTGGCTTAATCTTCGACCCTGAAGATAGAGGCTGTACGTTTCTTTCAAACGCCAGTGGACTTCAACTCGACTAAATAGCGTAAGGGACAGTACACTTTATCCTGTATTTTCTCCGAAGTAAGTGCAGCATTACATCACTTTCGTGACATGTGCAAAAGTAAGGTAAAGCTATCCCTGTAACAGGCCGCGAAGGCCAATAGGGTTGTGAGATGTTGAGGGTCCCACATTTTCTGGACAATCGGCTCAGATGGTAGTAACGTTGTCAGCCTTAACTGCCGGCCGCTGTTACCCCCGGGAAGATTCCTGGTATTCATTTTTGTTAGAGGCCGAGTCGACCCCAGGGTCATAGTGCGGCTGGAAGGAATAGGTAAATCGCAAAAAATCTAATGACCTCATCGGAATCGAACCCTTGGACCTTCCGGCTTGTAGAATAGTGCGTCAACCAACTACGCTACCGCGTGCCTCAAGTTTACGTTCATGCAGCACTAAACTCTCGACAGTGTTACAATATAGTAACTCGGAATTCCGTAATTTCATAGCTTTCATTTCACCGTTATATGGAATGATGAAGCGTTCCGTGTTGAAATGTTTTTTCTTTCCCCTACGCCGTCACTCGTTTGGGCATCTTAAATACCCTCTGATGATCATGTGTAATTTTGAAGAAAGCAGTCTTCTGGTATTTGGCACCGTGTATATGTGGTGTTAACCGAGGTTTCGGAGGAACGTATTGCCTCCATCTTCAGGGTAGAAGAAAAAATATAAGAATTCTGCAAGCGAAGAGACCGTGAGAACCGCTAAAAGCGTCTGCTTGCTACGGGCTGATCACTCGTCCAAGGGGTCCTACCGTCTGTAATATGATAATGAAACTAAAAATCAGAGGCCAGGGCCCAAGGGGGCTGTAGAGCCGATGAAAAATATAATATCTTCGTCGCATTCATCTTGAAATAAATTATGACTTGAGCTTCCCAAAAGCACAGGCCAGTCCGCGAGATTGCTGGCTCAAGCGACAAAACTTGAGACTTCTATTCAGGAGACGCCCGGTTGAAATCTCGGTTGGGACACAGACTACTATGACTGAGTANTGTAAGATTTGAGGCTTTCACGGCGGTGACTATGAAGAAAGCAGTCTTCTGGGATTTGGCACCGTGTGTATGTGGTGTTAACCGACGTTTCGGAGGAACGTATCGTCTCCATCTGCTTTTACCGGTTCTCACGGTCTCTTTGCTTGCAGATTCTTATATATTTTTTCTTCTACCCTGAAGATGGAGGCGATACGTTCCTCCGAAACGTCGGTTAACACCACATATACACGGTGCCAAATCCCAGAAGACTGCTTTCTTCATAGTCACCGCCGTGAAAGCCTCAAATCTTACATGTGTAATTTTGTCAGTAATTTTCACTGTTAAATATTGATAGGTTATACGTACGCTCGTGGTCTGTATGAAAGACTGAGGTAGACGCATTATTGACGTGAACATAACGCTAAGCAGGTTTGAGTCATCCGGCCTAGAATACATATGAACTTTGCAAATGTAAGATCACTGTAAGCACTGTACTTAAAATGTACTTACCCACACGTTCTGAAGATGACGTTAAGGTATGTCTAAGTAATATGGGCGCCTCTAGAATTTTTCTAGGTTGGGGCGCCAGAAAATTTGTTTACGAACTTACGTTTAAACGTTTTAAAAATATTTGTACACGTATATATGTAAGGCAGATTTTGTGTAAGTGAAAGGTAAAAAAAAAGGTAAAGTTGTCCCTGTGCTTGACTAAGTAAGCACCACGTCATGAAGGCGTATGGGGGAGTGGATGTATAGATCCACATCTTCTTGACCTCGGCACTGGTTGGAGGTGAGTGGTTAACTTCACGCCCTGACTGAATTACCCCCGGGGAAAGAGCCCCAGGTACTCATTGGATAGGAGACGGGGTGGACCCCAGAGCCGGTCTGGACGACGTGGAGAAGAGAAAATTCTTCACCCTACCGGGACCTGAACTCCGGTCCCTTGGTCGCCTGGTCCATAGCCAGTCGCTGTACCAACTACGCTATCCTGGCTCGGCGATTTGTTGAGGTAGCTGTTAAAAACTGTGGTGTTCAGGGTATAAAATTAAAAGGTTAATTTTCAGTACGGTATTAGTGTTTGGTGTATATCCTTCCTTCTTCAATTTTGATTTCTTCAAAACCTCCAGGAGGTGGACAGGTGCCAACTCCCCCAAACCCCAGCTCTCCTGCCGGCGCCCGTGCGAGGCAAGTGTTGACCTAGCTGAGACAGACTTCACCATGAACAGCGTGACGTTTTGCCACTAATCCGCTCACTGAGATGCTACCAGTTTCATATCTAGTTGGGAATTTCCTGATTTGTATGGGACCCGAAGGTTCGTTGACGTGTGCACAAGAGCATATTACCGCATCTTGTTCCAAGCCTGATTAATCCAATCCACAATATTATGTCCGGCTTCTTCAAGGTACATCTTAACGTTGTCCTTCCATCGATGTTTAGATTCTCTTCTCAACTAAAGTTTTGCGCCCTGGATGCCCTGCAAGATCTCAACCTTGATGGCCGCATCTGCTTATCGAAGCTGTAGTTGAGGCAGGTCCAGGAGGCCCCTCCCCCTCCAGGTCCCTTTTTGAGTACCCCACGTGGTGCTCTGACGCTTCTTTTAAAAAGTGTGACATCAAGACATACGGCCATTAATAAAATCTGTGTTGTGCTTGGGGCTCTCATTGCAGTAACTATTTTGAGTTGTATCGCCTGGTAATTCATTTTCTTCCTTTTCATCCCTGAAGATGCTATATGTTCCTCCGAAGCGTCCGGTTCTTAACGAACTATACGATATTACAGTCCAGAAGATCGCACCCATCAATACAAGTTCTGTTCATGTTATTGCGTTCTTTAGAAAAGTACAACTCCACAATAGTAACAATACTGAAGTTGTTTCTGCACCAGCCCATGAAGACATACGGGAGAGTGAAGGTATAGCTCCACCATTCTCGAGCTCGGCATTAGATGGACGTAAGTGGTTAGCTTCACACCTCGGCCGCTTTAACTCCGGGGAAAGAACCCCCCTCCCTCCCAGTACGCTATGTAGGAGGCTGGGCGGGCCCCAGAGCCGGTCTGGGCGCTGTGGTGCAGAGAAACATCTCTTGCTCCTGCTGGGAATCGAACCACGGCCGTCCAGCCCGTAGCCGTCGCTATACCGACTAAACTATTGCGGCTTCGGACAAAATATAATCTAAACGGGAACTCGTTAGAGGAGAATTTTAAAAGATATTTTTATTTTAGGTCTCACATGATATAAAGTAACAGGAACTTGCAGTTTGTTAATTTTCGATGTCGGTGTTTGAGGCTGAAAGGCCGTCCTCTTTGTATATGCTTTTCTTGGGCTGTATGAAGCTGCTGTTCTCCGAACGGCGATAAGGACCTTATGTCAGGATTCATGTCCATTTCTTTCTACGTGGTGCTGCGTCCCAGGCCTTCACTATTATATAAAAATAAGGCATTATTTCAGTGATTGAATTTGGCCTTATTTCGGATTCAGTTTAGCTTGCTGGATACTACGCTCCTGAAATGCCAGTTTACGTTTACTGTCACCAGAGCTCATGTATCTTTGTTGTTACGGTTAAATAAATGCCAGTCGGACAACATCTATGGTTATTTACGACATTAAGTGATTTGATTGCAGCAGTCTGCCTTCAAACATTAAGCTGGAGAGGATGATTGTCACAGATGGTTTGAACTACTATAGATTGATCGTACAGGATACCTGACATACGGAACAAATATTCAGTAAGAGCAGCAGCAGGTTCTGAGGACATTGACACTTGCTCCTGGCGTTGTTGCTATTGCAGGAAGAGCACTGTCTCTCCGCTCTCCGCTCCCCGCTATGGCGCCAATACTGCCATCCCTTCGTAAAATTGTAGGAAGTGAATTTCATCTCACTTCAGCCACATGGCGGTCACATGTCACTTGTGTTTCCTTTTTGTCTACATTTGCCTCGTAAATGTCTGTTGTTTTATAATTGTATACGAATAAAATACTTTTGGATTTAAATCCACATTAACACCGCTCTTTTCCAACCCGCCTTTGCTTGTATCGGCGCAGTCGGAATGGTGCTATCCCTGCTACACCTGTTTCTACCTTAGGACAGTGTATGATGGCCACTGCAAGTTGTTCTCACAGATCAAACTACGGAAGATCGGTATAGGTACGGGTCGGTTTGCATGTGTCTCAGGGTAGCGATGCATAAGAAAGCGTTTTTCTGAGAGTTGAGCCAATTGACGTTTATTCACCTGCTAATTCACCACACTGTTAAATTAATGTATTCTTAGCTTTAAGTTACAGCGTTACACTATCGGCTAGCTATGTCCCGGAGCGTGCAAGGGTCACGTCCGTTCAGTTCGGAATATTGTGAAAGTCTCCCCTTTGTGGAATGGCTTGCACCCCCACGCCGGGAATTCGAAAGATGGTGTTGACATATATTTTTTCATCCCATCTTCCGTAGGAAGCTTGAACGAGGCAACCCAATCATACTGGCCCTCATTCACAGGCAATTGTAACAAGCTCTGACCTGTCCTTTTAGGCGCGTCCGGTTCCCTGTACCCGAGCTAAATTTATGACTGATCGTAAATGTCATAACTCCGGACTTCTTGTTTCTGCCAGAATCTAGAAATTTTCAACGTAAACACCGTATTGCACGTCCCAGACGATGAAATACGATATTATAGATCACGATACATTTCCAGTAATATCGAAACATAAGACTTTTGAAATAAAAATTACCGAGAATTAATTAAAATAAATTTCATGGTCATCTATAATCATCAAAATAAATAAGGGCTCAGAATGATCAGCGTCAACATATCACTCAGTTCATAACCGTTTATCTTCTCGCCTGCTGTCTTTGAAAGAAAAGAACTATTATTTTACTCGTGCCTTACGCGTGTATGGAACTTGGCCTATCACCGTAAGGGAATGACATAGACAATGTTTGATTCCTCACTGGACATAAGAGGGAAGAAGTTGGAGGAGGGTGAAGAATATTTACATCCAAGAGCACTGCAATTTTTACTCGTAAACAGATGTTACCACCTGTCTGTCTGTCTGTCTGTCTATGTATATGTCTGCACCCATTTGTTGGACCTTGGCCGCTTTTTCAGTTTTAAATCTATGCACAGTCTGTAGGACTCCTTGGACGGAGGATCAACCCGTCACAAGCCCTCTGGCTGCACACAGAACGACACAGAGTAAACGCACACAGACATCTGTGCCTTGAGTGGGGTTCTAACCCACGATCCCAGTGTTCGAGCGAGCGAAGACAGTTTGGATCAGCCTGTCACAAGGCCGCTACCTACACACAGAACAACACAAATACACAATAAACGCACACAGACATCCATGCCTTGAGTGGGATTCTAACCCACGATCCCAGTGTTCGAGCGAGTGAAGACAGTTCATGCCTCAGACCGTCCGGCCAATGTGATCAGCAACAGATGTTACTAGGGCGATAAAATCAAGGAGGATGAGGTAGGTGGGGCACGTGGTACAACATTTTTATTGGGAAACCTGAAAAAGAATATGTTAGATTTGAGGAGTACTGCTGGAGTATTTCAGCTGGGAGTTGTTTGATACACACTCCTTACAGTTCTAATCTTGCTTCGAACGACTACTACCTGTTTACGTACCTGAAGAACTGGGTGAAATCACAGCGCATTAACAGTAATGAGGAGTTGATGGAAGGTGTCAAAATGCGGCTGAGCTTACAGATGGCAAATTTATTTGACAAGTGCCTGACTATGTTGAGAATAGCTTGAGTATATAATTATTATTTGTATATAATAAATCTTTTCCTCGTTGCTTATTTTGTTAACAGCTCAATGAGGTTACTTTCTTAATAGCCCTAGTACATCACATTGTTAATTACATGAGGAACACTTAGTACTATTAGCTTCCTGGACCTTGTCCATCATCCAATAGTTAGAGAACCATAACATGGTGTTTTGACAACTGGGCCTGATTTCTTGGGTCCTTTAGGAAGATGTAATTCCACTCGCTAGACGTAGTCCTCTAAACGGAATTGTTTCTATTGGACCTGACTGAGTAAGTGCCCCCCACCTGAGGATGGAAGTAGACCCAGCTTCGAAAACACTGTGTTCAGGATTTGTGGCAAGTGTTTGGTAGATAAGTAATACTAAGTTATACATTTATCATCATAACCCTCAGAAATTACAGTTTGGATTTGAGATCCTCACAGCATTGACTATGAAAGGTACAGTCTTCTGGTTTGTAGCACCATGTAGTCTGGAGAAAGCCTGACGTCTTGTCACCTGCCTCTTGGTTGTTTCTTGCTTCACTTTCACTTTGTCTTTGCAAGATTGAGGCAATGTGTTTCTCCACAACAGATTTTTTTCTTGACTACATGGCAGTTCATCCCGTAAGACCGTATTCTGCAGGGATTACATATGTTTTCCCATCTTCTTCTGTTTGTGGTTATCAAGACCATGCTTTTGGTTCTAGTTCTGAAAGAACTGGAAGGGCTGGCTCGTGGAGGTAAAGACAGAGATTACATGCCTGTACCTTGTGTGGAACCAGAACATGCTGCCAAGGTTGCCGAAGCTGCAAAAATGGCTCTGGTCTTCCTCAGATCTCGTAGTCCTGGTGTGCGGTGTGTCACTACCCGTGGTACAGTAGTCCGCACATCTGCCTTTGCAATGGAAGAGGATACAGAGCAGGTAATCTTATTGTGATCAAAGCTAATAGATATATATTGGTTCCCAAGCTGGAAGTGTGTTGGTTCATGTCATGGATACTACAGATTTGGGACTGCATTCAGAATATTATTTGCAGGATGAAAGGAATGATGACAAAATCCTTACTACAAGCCTGAGCCTTTGTCGATCTTCAGGAAAGGATGAATGCAAACCAGGTAACTTGAGTAAATTTTAACTAGTTATTTAATGTGGAATTTGAGATTCTTACAATGGCGTCTCAGAAGATGGTGTTCTGGGTTTAAATTATATGAGAAATACCTATATTTCGGAGGAATATGTTGTTTCCATCTTCAGGGTCGATGGATAAACCAAGCAAGAAGGAGCCAGCAACAAGATCTGCTTACTAATGGCTTCTTGCTTGGAATTTCATTTAACTTGAGTACGGAGGCACTGTGTTCTTCTAAACCTTTGGTGGTCCTCTACAGAAATGCACAGTGTTGTAACCCAGAATATTGTACCTTGATTGATACTGACATTTCAGAGGAAATTTCCATTTTCAGGGTTTATATTCCAGATTACATTAATCTTTAATGAAGACATTTCTTGTTATAGGTGCTCATCCATTTTGAAAAGGAAAGACCAGGTTAATCTATTTTGGTATTTTAACTGTAGCTGTACTATAGCAAATTTTCGGTTTGCTGTTGTATAAACTAACTTCACTGAATATTTTCATGGAGCAGAGTCCTTGTTCAGAGGATAAAAATATAGTAGTTTAACCCAGCAAGAAATTTCATGCCTGTTATGAAACCCAAAGACCACCTATGTGGTCTAGTGGTCAGAGTTCCTGCCTACAGATCCAGAGATCCGGGTTCGATTCCCGGCGCTACCAGATTTTCTGAGAAATAGCGGGTCTGGAACGGGATCCACTCAGCCTCGTGAGGATGATTGAGTAGCTCCTTGAATGAAAAAGTAGCGGTACTGGTCTAGAAAACCGAGATTAACGTCCCTGAGGAACCGTTGCACAGACCACGCGATACCCTCTGTCCTCAAAAATTTGCACTAACTTCGCCGACAAGCAGCGGTCGCTCGGTCGGTATAGTTCACTTGCGGACTAAAGGCCACGGAGTTTTATGAAACCCTAAAGTTCCTTACCACATACACAAGATACATTTCTTGCCTTCTGCCACTTGCTGGTTTCTTGCTTGTCTTACTCTGCAACCCTGAAGGTGGAAGTGATATGGTTCTTCGACATATCAGGATGTGGGACCCTCAACGTCTCACAACCCTATGGGCCTTCACAGCCTGGTATGGGGATAGCTTTACTCCTAACTACATGGCATTACAGCCCCTGAATTTAATATCTAATATGAGCTTTGTAGGACCAGTGATTGTAATTTTTGTATAAGAAAGAAGGTGAAACCTGGAATGCATTTGTTTCACTAGAAATTAGAATTTTAACGTCTGTGTTTCATTATCTACAGTTAAGTCTTTTTTGGCTTTTAATCGCATGATTTGTAGTTACTAAAACAGAACAATTTTATGTCCTCCCCCTCCACCTCCTTAAGAATGACACCAAGAACAAGTCCCACTAATGGATTGTATTCCACAAGTTGGGAAATACTGTTTTAGTACATTATGCCTACCAAGCAACATTTCATTATACTGTACTCTGCTGTATTAAATGCAGCAAAGAATGAAAAAACTTGAATGAAAATTTCAGAACACTTCTTTCATTGTGAGAATTGTAGAAGTGTACACACTAAAGTGAAAACTTTCTTACTGTGATTTATTTTATTGGCATCACTGGTGTAATGGCATCTTTTCCAACAACTCATGCATGTTTTTTTAATGCATAATCCATAATATGTGAGGCCGGGATAGCGCAGTCCGTATAGTGACTGGCTACGAGCTGGACGAGGGGTCAGAGTTCAAGTCCTGGTAGGGTCAAGAATGTTCTGTTCTCCACGTCGTCCAGATCGGCTCTGGGGTCCATCCAACCTCCTATCCAATGGGTACCGGGGGCTCTTTCCATGGGGGTAAAGAGGCCGGCACGTGAAGCTGACCACTCACCTCCAGCTAGTGTCGAGGTCAAGAAAATGTGGATCTATACATCCACTCCCCCATGCGTCTTCATGGCATAGTGCTTAATTAGTTAAGCACGGGGACAACTTTGACAACTGTGGTCTAGTGATCAGAGTTCGTGGCTACATATCCAGAGGTCCCGGGTTCGATTCCCGGCCCTTCCAGATTTTTTAGAAATAGTGGGTCTGGAACAGGGTCCACTCAGCCTCATGAGGTTAATTGAGGAGCTATTCCAAGAAAATAGCGGCTCCGGTCTAGAAAACCTAAATTAACAGCCTTGGGGATTCGTTGCACTGACCACATGACACCCTCTATCCGCTAAAGTTGGCACTAACTTCGCCGACAAGCGCAGTAGTTTGGTTGGTATAGTTTGCTCGCTGACTAAAACCACAAAGTTTGTTTTCGGGACAACTTTACCTTTTACCTATGATATGTTGTTTCCAAAATTGGATATGTGCAATAGGTGAGCTAGTCATGTTGAATGTAGGTGAGCCACGTCGCCTGTATCGAGAAGTGGTACTTCTGACTGAAGATCGTAACCTGCGTGTGAAAGCACTGGCAAGACATGTTCCTGTACGTGAGGTGCCCGATTTCATGCATTGGGCGGGTCTGGGCTGAACCCCCCGGCTCTTGTGACCCTGTCAACACCCCAGCAACTTACATGCAGAGAATAAAAGACATGCGAGTGTGTAGAGGGAGGCAACTCGCACGAATTGGACTCAGGTAGGTCCTTCTGTCAACCTGCATCATGCCAAGCGAGGAAACAGCCCCAGCTAGGATAGGGCGAAGCAACACTCATGTAAATATCTTGGATGCACTCATCAGGATATCTTCTGACGGATGGAGGGTTATGAATCCGTACTGTTTTGCTGTAGAAGAGGAGGTTTCAGTTAAAAGTCTTTGAATTCATTATACAATGGTGACTGTCAGTAACACATTTTCATACTTTTGGCCAGTTTTTGAAATACAGAAATAAGGTTATGGCTATATAGATAAGACGTTTCCAATCTTTCATTTGTCATGCCTACTTGGAATTTTTACATTCCTATGCCAAATAATAATAGTAATTTTAACAGTGACTGTTGAACAAGTTCTTATTTCTTAATCTGAAGCATTAAATTATTATTATTATTATTATACTGCATGTGATTGATCATTCTCATATCATTGATGATTGTATATGGATTGATATAACCTTCAGCCTACTGTAGTTTGGAAAGAAACCCTGAAAGATAGCTGCTCATTACGAAACTAGTTTCATAGTTTTACATGATTTTTTCCTTCAGTATGACATATATATACTCTATTGTAACCTTAAAAACATGTGAGTAATATGACTGTTATGTTATGCTCTTACAGTTTTGTGTACAGGAGGCAGTTACATGTCAGAATGAGTAGAAACTGTCTCTTGTCTTTGGTATGCATTTCCAGAGTATCTATATAAACTATTTTGACATATTGACAAGAGTTCGTCATTACCATCATTAACACCACAGCTTAGGCCACAATCATCTTCTGACTCCACTCCCGGAGCAAGATTGGCCACTCCGTCATTTGTTGGAGTGTCCAATGTTGCTGCTGGTTGTTTTGTATACAACTGAATTCCATGTTGTTGGTGTGTAATTCATCATCATCAGGAATAATATAGAATTAGGTCATTAAAAGCCTGTTGCTATAACTCCAGGATGGTCTTGGAAACACCATAGACATTTTGATCATCCTATCATCTTAAATCTTGTTATCCCCTCAGTAGGCAACAGAATGCCAGTTGTGGCATGTGACCTCTTTGCATTCTTCCAGATTATTTTTTCACTTATATGAGATAGATCAGCCTGTTCAGCAATGTTTTGAATAACGTGAGTGTCTTCAAAGTCTCCACATGGGTGCTTTATTTTTATTAGTGTCACTAGGTATATGATATAAAAGTTCCAAATAGACAATTGATTGCTAGCTAAGAAACCAGCATTTAATTATGGGATTCGAAAATGTGCCATAAAATAACGATAAATTATATGAGATTTACAGTTCATGGAATAGTGAATAACAAGATTATAGTCCTCTGCGATTAACACCGTGTACTTTGGTAGATAGATACCAGATTTTGAGAGTAACCTGCTGCCTAAATCTTCATTGTAGTTTTGTTTTGAAGTTGGAAGCAGCGTATTTCTCACAAACATTGCACCTGTCTACCAAACTACACAGTGTTCCATTCCAGAAGACTATAATCTGAACCATAAACTGCACTAATGCCAATAGGGATTGGAATGTAGCCCCTGATAATTTTCTCAGGCTGCTTCTGTTTTGGAAGTTAAGTTCACAAAGTGTGGTAATGGATCCAGATTGATGATATTGGAGTATGCTGTAAGCCAAATGATTTTGCAGTTGTGCCATTTATTATTCATATGAGAATGGCACTTTCAGTTAAAAGTTATCAAGCAAAGTTCTTTATTTTCTTTCAGGCTACATATCTGATTGGTCACAGCCTACATAAATATAAACATTTGAAACAAACCAAATATTTGTACCAACAAACTTCCACTCTTTCTATCAACTTCATAATTCAAGTTTTCATTGCAGGGTTCAGGGGCCATGATAAACCCCTATCACCCTAAAGCAACCTCACGTATTTTAAAATAATACCAAGAGGGTGTTCAGGGGAGTGTGTAACTGCATTGCTTTCATAGCAGTGGACATAATAGTTCTAAGATTTAACAGTTTTGACAACTCTCTTACAATTTTAAAATGCACTTTATAAAATGACAGCTGTTGATACTATTTGATATATTGAAATGAATTAAATTGAATACAAGTTTAAAACTCACATATATATACTTGGATTTTACTTTTTTACTATAAATGCTTATGGCCTGTGTCTCGGAGAATGAGTGATAGAATGTCTGCATGTTACTGGTATGTATATAATTTCTTATGAATCCTGTTCACATTTATCTGCATTTGGTTGTGAAAATAATTAGGTAGAGCACATTCCCACCAATAAAAATTAGAGTTAATATATGTATATAAATATTTAATGTGTGGATTTGTTGCAGTTTGAAAAACAAAAATTTTCTGGTTCAGTATGTTAGTGTGTATTGTATTATTACTTTCGCAGTGTTAATCTACCCATTGAGACACATATGTAATTCTTAATGAATTTTAAAATATTAAAAACAAAAACACTTTGTAAAGTAATTACATGTAAATTATTTGAGAAGGAAATAAGTATTTCCTAGAGAAAGGGTAAGGCAGAAGAACAACAGATATTTCACATATTAACAGTAAACTTTCCTGACTGAAAAGATAGGAGACTGAAGGAAAAAATACTGAAGGCATTGATTGACTATTCTAAACATCTGATATATTGTGAATGTTATGATTTTTAAACTCTCACTCTGCTGATATCAAATTACTTAGTAAGTTCACTGTTGTGTACAAAGTATTTGCTGTTCTTTTGTAATTCTATTTGCACACCATATTCGGTTTGTTTTCCTTTGTGAAGCTCTCTGAATGTGTGTGGCATTTGTTTGCATATTTAAAGTGGCACAGATAATTATTGTGATAATTTGTTAGTATGGGATTAGTATATATGAGCTTTACATTTTCAGACAGTTGTATAAGAAATAAGAAACTTACATGAAACACCATTAAAGGTAAAAGATCTCATATTTTCTGCGGGAGTCATTGTAACTCCATCCTTGGCCACCACTTGTTCTGCATCATGTTTTAATGTCAGCGCAATGGCGACTCAGCAGTGGAAAGTTGTGACGTGACAATGTACATAGCACCTGGTGGCCAGGGTTGGAGTTGTGCTGATTTTCATGCAAGGTTTGAGAGATTATCTGAGAAATTTATTTGTAATAAACGTTTGAATGTGTGAAGTTCATTTGTAATAAACCTGTACTTATATTTGTAAAATTTTTTGGTAGCCGTAGGGAATGTGGGAATTTGGTGTGTGTGGGGGGGGATGAAATTAATGTCCTATGAGATAATCATTCATTTTCCTGGGTGAAAGGCATCTGAGGTTTCAGAAATGGTAGGCTGACATTGAACTTGTTTGTCTATGTTACTCACTGTTGAAATACCGGTACTTATCCTCTCATTGTGTGGGGCATTGTGTGCGTTACTGTACTTACCTTTTTCTGGCGTACCTGTTTCAATATTAAATTGCTGTTTACCAGGTGAAAATTCTGCTCCTTAGTTTGCTCTTTAATTATTATTATTATTATCATTATTGTGTAATAAGCTGTAATGATTATTTTAGTGTATAAACAGAGATGTCTCAGGAAATCAAAGTGAAGTTTTTAATGATTAATTAATCAGATTAGAGTGATATGAATTAAATAATAAAATTACTGCTCAAAGATTTAATTTGAGACTTAAAAATAATGTCTGTGTTGAATTAGAGAACTTTTTAGAAATGCCTGTATGCTAATCATTCTGCCAAATGGAATTAAGGGATAGTATTTTTTTGGAATTTTTAATTCTCTTTGTAGGCTAACTTGGTTTTGTATTCTTCCTAATATTCTTAATTCTAATTTGGATGTCAGTTAATTTTGGAATGATGTATTTTACAGGCTTTTACATTTATATTAGTGTAACCCCTTCGGATTCCTTTTATATTTTTAGTTTCTCAAACACAGCACATGACAAAATAGAGAAGTACATGCGACATAAAGTGAGAGTTTCAATATGCCTTTTTCTATGTGTTTTGAAGTTGTGTGTAAAACCATGTAGGTTCCTCAGGTGTTGTTTAATGTAATGCATGAATGTATTGATTTTGGTTTTAAAATTGGGGCTTTCTTTAGTTTGTGTTGAATTATTTCGGTTTTATGGTATTTATTTTTAACATCTGATTATGAAGTATATATTATTTTATTTATAATTTCATTAACCCATCATTTCTGTTTTATATATATTTTCCTTTTTGGTAACAGATTATGTTTGTATTTGAAAATGTTTCCCTTGAGATGTCAAGAAATCGATATTTGTTTTCACATGCTTATTTGCAAAATAATATAATTCTTGCTGTATAATTCCAAGAAGTTAAATTTGAACTTCACCAAAAGAATACTATCTCTGTTAATAAAGTGCATTGATATCACTTCCAAACAAGTTCTGATATTATTTTCCTTTTTAAATGTTTCACCTTTAAGGAAAGGAAAATTTTATATACATTTGTCAAAATTACTCTATCTCAAATTCATTTCATGTTCTGTTATCACGAATATTGTTTAATTTTGTTTTAAAAGAATTTCTTTAGAATACCAACTTAAATTAGGCAATAGTAGTTTCCCTCCACATACTTTCCAATTTATTCGCTGGTTATCCAGTCATTCAGTGCTGTATAACTTATTCTACTGACATCATCATTAGATGAACTACAAATGAATAAATAAATAAAATGGTTTCAAATAAGCAGTTTTATTAAATCGAAATATCTCTTATTATGTAGAGTCGTTATTAATATATTGTAGTTAATTTTAACACATTTTTACTCATGGAAACTGATATTTTGTTTCATAGAAAGAAAGTAAACTTTTGTGTCCCATGAACACCATGAATTTTCGATGAGTAGTACTTACTAATTGTTAGCTTTACTTGTGTTACTTCCTTTAATGGATACAAGGTTTTGGAAGTGGTAGTCGTTTATATAATTACCTTAAATGTTTTAATTATAATGTCAACCCTATAATTTATTGTTACCTGCATAATACAAATACTAGGTGCCTAGAACCTCTTTGAGCATGCACCAATATCAGATCATTACGTCATTAGAAAATTAATAATTTTTATTTTCAGTATACAGTGAGAACCATCTCAGATTTCATTGAACATACAGGACTTTTTGTCTGTAAAGTTGGCGAAAAGTATGACATACCCTCGGAAGTGTTTTAGGTGGAATTTACTTGTTGTCTGTTATCAAGTGTTCATTAGATAATTCGTCTTTTTTTTTTTTGCGAGATGTTTTTTTATTCCAATGAAGCTTCAGTAATCGTGAAAGAGTTGCAGAGAAGCATAAGATGGTAAGCAACTTTTCTTACCTTTTTTATAAATACATAGATGTTATTTTAGGAGACGGGGTTACGTAGTCGGCATAGCGACTAGCTACGGGCTTGACCGAGGGGTCGGAGTTCGAGTCCCCGTAGGGTCGAGAATTTTCTCTTCATGTCATACGGACCGGCTCTGGGGTCCACTCAACCTCCTATCAAACGGGTACGTGGGGAAAAGCGACCGGGGCGTGAAGCTGACCTCTCACCTCCAGCTAGTGCCGAGGTCAAGAAAATGCGGATCTGTACATCCACTCCGCATAAGCCTTCATGGCGTAGTGCTTAATTAGTTAGGAACAGGGGCAACTTTACCTTTGTTACATGAATGTTATTTTATCTGATGAATGAAGGTAGTGTTACTTTAAAATAAATACTATCACATATCACAGTGACTAAAGACGGGTTTCGGATTAGTAACTGGATTTATTAACAATCTACACGTCATAACTACAGATAATTATTAAACTATTTCTGATTTACACAATTTACACTCCACGCTAATCTTCTCACTGTATTTCCACTAGTCTTCACTATCAGTTTCCTGGCAACGGATTTATAACACAGGTACACACTCCCACTATACTATACTACTGCACACACATAAAGTCTTCAAATCACACGTTATCTTCACAGGTCGCCTTCTCCGGCCGCTTACTATTCCGCTCACTTATATAGACGCGGCCGGACACGGACATACGGAAAACACCGCGTGGTCACTGTTCAGCCAGTCCATTGGCGCTCTGGCTGGACCTACAGAAAACATGTCACATGATTTCTAAGCACTGTTGTGTGACGTAATTGCGCCTGAGAAAGCTGCACAGACACAAAGAAAACATTGCTGCTGTATTGTTGTCCGTCTGTGTGTTGCGGCCGTTGTCTAATAGTGGATTTACACGGCACAATACCTTATCAGTGATTAGTATCTGCAGGGGATTTGCTATGAGGTATACATGGTTTTTATTCAAGTACGATATATGTTGAAAGAAAACGATAATGAGTGACTGATATGTGGGGATCTCACAGTGATTGAATTTAAGATTGTACTCTTCAAAGGGAGGCTGCATGCTCCTACAAACCTGCCCACCGGACTACACGGGTGTCACATCCCATGAGACTTTAATCTTAATGAATCACTTGCTTTTAACCTGAAAAGAAATTAAGCCTGTTTCTTATGTTAGGTCAGAAGGTTACTGTCAGAAATGTGGAAGTAGTTAAGGTTACATGTAAGGCTTTCCTTGTTCAATTTGTTATCTCGCTGCTGTTTTCCACGCATCTGTCAAATCCCTCTCAAAAGGACAGTCACGTAAAAAGAACAGTAAAATTAGGCACTTTGCAGACATATTGCTCTACTTGCTTTGGCATTCACGTGGGGGGGGGGGGTTAAATAAGCCTAGTTTGTATTACTTAGTAATATTGACCTTGAATGTGTGTTTAGTAGGAACAAAACAAAGAATAATATGGAACATATGTACCAGTATTGGGAACAGATATATGGGAAACCTGTATCAAAGAACATTAATTGGTAGTTTAGTTGATCAGAACACCAGTATTCAGCAGAATGGTTTAGCGGTAAGACTCTAGACTTACATAGGGAGGTCCTTGGTTCGAATCCCTGCCGGGACACCAGCTGGTGGGACTGGAATGCGATTATGAACATTTGGAACAGTTTTTTCTCTTCTCTACAGAGTCCTAGCCTACACCTGTGAAATATTTGCTGAAATAAAATAAAGTCTATTTCAGCAGTATCGTTAAATAACCTCCAGCCAGTTGCACTTTCAGAATAAAGAAAAGCTGTATATGAATGTTTCTTTNGGGGGGGGGGTTAAATAAGCCTAGTTTGTATTACTTAGTAATATTGACCTTGAATGTGTGTTTAGTAGGAACAAAACAAAGAATAATATGGAACATATGTACCAGTATTGGGAACAGATATATGGGAAACCTGTATCAAAGAACATTAATTGGTAGTTTAGTTGATCAGAACACCAGTATTCAGCAGAATGGTTTAGCGGTAAGACTCTAGACTTACATAGGGAGGTCCTTGGTTCGAATCCCTGCCGGGACACCAGCTGGTGGGACTGGAATGCGATTATGAACATTTGGAACAGTTTTTTCTCTTCTCTACAGAGTCCTAGCCTACACCTGTGAAATATTTACTTTAATAAAATAAAGTCTATTTCAGCAGTATCGTTACATAACCTCCAGCCAGTTGCACTTTCAGAATAAGGAAAAGCTGTATATGTATGTTTCTATCGGGGACATTTGGCATGTTAAGTATTAAATAAAAGCTTAATATCTGAAAAGTTAAATTTGAAGAAAATAGTTAACTGCTTAGAAGTATGTACCAGTTATGTTGATGCTTTTTCTTCTTCTTCCTCTTATTCCTGTTGCTCCCACTAGGAACATAGGGCATCCGTGTAACGATTCATTTCACTTCAGTTTCTTTATCTAAAACATTCGGTATGGCTCTTGAACGTAGGGGGGGGGGTCAGCTCGTCGCAAGGCCGCTAAGTAATGCAGACATCCATACCTTAGTGGGATTCGAACCCACGATCCCAGTGTTCGAGCAGGAGAAGACATTTCATGCCTTGATCACGCGGCCACCGTGATCGGCTGTTATGTAGCTTAGTTTATCTGAAATAATAGAGTGCGACACTCAGCATGTTCCGGCTTCCCCTTCCTTTCAACCTGATTGCGCGGTACGCATTACTTTATAGCACTCCCTCCATTTACCCCAAGTGATGTCACGTGACAGTTTGTGAGTGATGAGTAAGTTTGTCTACATTTTTGTGAGGGAAGATTTTAGTGTCGTGTTTTTATATTTACGAAATACATCGTGTGAGGGAAAATGCGCCATGAAGAATGGAACCCTCCAGGACTCGGCACATGGGTAAGTGAAACACCGTAAGCAAGGACTTTAATCGGAGATGGACGCGGGTACACGTAACCTGTTTGGCTCCAAGGTCACCCTACCCCCAGAATGAAGCTATTCACTTTTCGAAACAACCATACATGTAAGAACTCAGCCGGAATAGCGTAGTAGTTATAGTGATTGGCAACGGGCTTGACGACCGAGGGGTCGGAGTTCGAGTTTCGGTGGGGTCAAAAATGTTCTTCACGTCATCCAGACCGGCTCTGAGGCC